AATTTTGGTTTTTTATTCTATTTTATTTCTTGCCTGTACTGGGGTCTTCATTGCTGTGTGCAGCTTTCTCTAGTTGCAGCAAGTGGGGCTAATCTCTAGTTGCAGTGCACAAGCTCCTCATTGTGGTGGCTTCTTCTATTGTAGAACATGGGCTCTAGAGCATATGGACTTCAGTAGTTTTGGTTCACAGTCTTTATTTATTTACTTGGCTGTGATGGGTCTTAGCTGCAGCATGTAGGGTCTTAAGTTGTGGCATGAAAACTCTTGTAGAATTTAGTTCCCTGACCAGGGATTGAACCACGGCCCACCACATTGGAAGCAGGGAGTCTTCATCACTGGACCACCAGGGAAGTCCTTTGTAGACATAACGATGGCCATGCTGACCGGTGTGAGATGATACGTCATTGTAGTTTTGATTTGCATTTTGCTAATAATTAGTGATATTGGGCATCTTTTCATGCTCACATGCTTCTCATGTGCCTGTTGGCAATCAAAACAATTTTTTTAATCAGGTAAAATGTACATAGAGTTAAACGTGCACGACTTAAATTAACTGGTTGATGAATTTTTTTGGGTACATCAGTGTAACCAACACCCCAATCAAGTTATATGCCATTTGCAGTTTGTTTTTTTAATTAAAATATGATTCATACATCTTCCTTTATGGGTTAGTATAAGTTTTTGCCCAGTATTTTAGAGGAAGGAGCCAAAGTTTAGTTTAGTTTAGCCAGACTATCATTGAAGAGCATGGCTTTAGAGTCATGTAGATTTAGGATCAATTTTTGCTCTGACACATAGCTCAGTATAAGGTGACTTTTAGCTCTCTAAGTATTAATTTTTTCATCTTTAAAATGGGGATGTTACCTGGCTCAAAACAGTGTCTCAAGAATTGAGTCCCTGCAACACCTGAGAGCCCTTAAAAATCATTTTTTTAAAATGAAGAAGCCACTGAAAAACCAACAAAAGATATTAACACTCTCTTAACAAAAGAAAATAGTCATTTGTAGAGTCAATAAACCTATCAAAAGCTGTCCAGCCTCACAGACGATCAAACAGATGCAAGTCAGGCAAACAGATGCAGAGCAACAATGAGAATTTTTCAGCTCTCAGATTGGCAGGGATTAAAATGGTACATAATGTGTCATGTTGGCAAGGGTTTAAGAGGTAGGCCCTTGACAGTGCATTGGCTCTGTATACTTGAAGGATAATTTGGCCTTATCTGTTAACACTGTTAAGTGGTCACACCCTTTATCCCAGTAGTTATCCTTTTGCCATTTATTCTGCACATGTTCAGTTGCTAAGTCATGTCTTCTTTGCAACCCCATGGACTGCAGCACGCCAGGCTTCCCTGTCCATCACTATCTCCTGGAATTTGCCCAAACTCATGTCCATTGTGTAGATGAGGCCATCCAACCATCTCATTCTCTGTCGTCCCCTTCTCCTCCTGCCTTCCATCTTTCCCAGCATCAAGGTCTTTTCTAGTGAGTCAACTCTTCACATCAGGTGGCGAAAGGATTGGAGCTTTAGCTTCCACATCAGTCCTTCCAGTGAATCCTCAGGACTGATTTCCTTTAGGATAGACTGGTTGGATCTCTTTGGTGTCCAAGGAACTCTTAAGAGTCTTCTCCAGCACCACAGTGCAAAAGCATCAGTATGTCAGTGCTCAGCCTTCTTTATGGTCCACCTCTCACATCCATACAGGACTACTGGAAAAACCATAGCTTTGTCTATACAGACTTTTGTCAGCAGAGAAATGTCTTTGCTTATGTGCCTGTACAAATGGGCAAAGTATATGTTTTGTTGCAAAATCCATCAAAGCATAAGCAACCCAAATGTTCAATAGAGCAAATTAGTTACGACTCACATTTGCAATGAGATGTTATGCAGTTAATGAAAGGAATGAGGAAACTCTAACAAGATATGTAAAGTTTTCACAATAAATTGTATAATGAAAAAAAAAATTTAAACAGCATCTAGCCTCTCAGATTCCTTTCCATGGGAAAAGTGTTCTGATTTAGCAATACTGCAGTTCACTGATGCCTGTGGTTAATGATCACAGCTAAGTCAGGGACATTTTTGTTAGGTGCAACAAGCAATTTTTCCAGCAGTTAAGCTTCGTCGGACCATGCTATTCTGAGATGTTCCATGGTGGTGTACATGCCTGGGGGCAGGTGTGCCACCATACTTGTTATGGTTAAAAACTTCTTAGAGGCTAGAATTGGAAACAGCAAATAGTCATTAATGGAATGGTAAGTCGGTTCTGCCTTTAGGTCTACTGAGAAGGAGGCCTGTATGTTAGTTAGGTGCTCTGACATTCATTTATTCATTCAACAAACATTTCTTGAACAGTGGTTATGCATCAAACTTTGCCCTTGGGGCTGGAGTTACAACCCTCATGTAAGGACATTACTCGAAGTACGGCCGAGGATATAATAATAAAAGAGAGCAACCTGCATTGTCACTATAATAATGATAAAGAGGAACCCTTGACAGCATCAGAAAGAAGTTCTCTGAGAGCAGGGGCTGAATTGTTCACAGCCTCTGCATTCACAGCACTCTAGTCCGTGCTTGGCACACAGCTGGTTAATATCTAGAATTTGCTAAATGAATGAGTGAGTGAACAAATGAATTGATAGGATCAGGATTCTAACAAATAACAGAAGAGGGACTTCCCTGGTGGTACAGTGGATAAGAATCCCCTTGCTAATACAAGGGACACAGGTTTGATCCCTGGTCTAGGAAGAGTCCACGTGCCGCGGAGCAACGCAGCCTGTGCACCAGGACTTCTGAACCTGTGTGCCTAGAGCCCGGGCTCCACAACAAGAGAAGCGACCGCAATGAGAAGCCTGCACCCTGCCATGAGGAGTAGCCCCCGTCTCGCCGCAACTGGAGAAGGCCCGCACGCAGCCACCAAGACCTGCTGCGGCCAAAAATAAATACATTTAAAAAAAAATAACAGAAGACACACTCTGATTTTGAGGAAAGATTATTCATGAAGGGGCATGTGAGGTGTGAGGACTGTTGGAGAAGCACATGGAATGGTACAGAAACCCAGGTAGAAGGACAGATGTTGTCCCACCTGTAGGCTGTAGGAGGCGAGAGGAGTTGGGTTACTGGAACTGGGAGAGAACCAGATTCACATCCCCCCGTCTCCTATTGAGTCTCCTGGGGAGTCAGGGGGCAGGGAGCCTGAGTATCTGCATCAGGCTGCACATCTGAAGGTATTTATCACACACTCCCGGGGGCCTGATTCTTTACATGCACTGCTCCAAACTCTGTGAGAGGAGGGGTGTCATCGCTATGTTGCCGAGGAAACGGGATGAGATTCGCTCGGTCCCTTGCCCCAGCTATCATTAGGAGGAGGCAGAACTACTATCCTAAAAAGTGGCAACATCTGTGGAGATTTTAAACCCAGGTGGCCCAGAGCTGTGGCGCCCACAGACAGACTGGATAGTTGGGAGGCAAATTATTAATACTACTCTGGGCCACAGTCTCCCCATCTGGAAAAGGGAATGATACCCGTCTTCGAGAATTCTTGTGATGATTCAATAACAGTGATATAGAAATTGGCACGTGGTCAACAAAAGAAATTGTTGACCTGCGAAGGGTGTGAAACATGGTATTGGGTGGGAGAGTGAAGTTGTTCATTTTTGGTTAATTACTTTATACTTGTATTCATCAGTTTTTTGGCCCCAAACAGATAGCAGTTAGATGAAAAAGCAAGTTGCTTTCCCCACTACTGTGTTCTTTTTTTCCCTCCCTCCTCTCTCTTCCTTTCGGTGTCTTCTGCCTCAGGTTTGTGTGTTGGACCCTAAGGCCCCTGGGCCATCCTCTGAGTGGCCACGTGGCCAGTGCCTGCCACAGCCGGGGAGTCCGTCCTCCACTTGGAATTCAGGGACTTCTTCCTCCTCCCTGCCAACAGCCGCTCCCTCCTGGGAGCCAGGAGAGAGGGCCTGAGGCAAAGATGTGGATCGTTGGAGACTTTGATGTGATCCGCCTGCTTCCTCCTGCAATTCTAACTGATGGGCTTCCAGGAGCAGACACTCTTTGCCATTTATTCTATTAATATTTATAACAATTCCTCAAAATGGATATCATCCCATTTTACAAAGAAGGGAGCTATGGCTCTCAGAGATTAAATAAATTTGGCCAAAAATCATACATGTGACAGAGCCACAGAAAATGTGAATGCCTCTGAATCTCCTGCTTTCTTATCCTTTCTTAAACTTTCTGGAGCCTTCAGTGTGTTTTCTGAAGGCTGAAGGAGCTTTAATTTTCTAATTACAAAAGCAATTTTTTGTTGTTTAGTCACTAAGTCGTGTTTGATTCTTTTCTGACCCTATGGATTACAGCCCACCGTGCTCCTCTGTTCATGGATTTTTCCAGGCAAGAATACTGGAGTGGGTTGCCATTTTCTTCTCAAGGGGATCTTCCTGACCCAAGGATCAAACCTACCTCTCCTGCATTGGCTGGCAGGTTCTTTACCACTGAGCCACCAGTGGAGCCCTATAAAAGCAATACTGGATTATAATAGAAAATATGTAAAGTAGGAAGGACATTTTCACATGGCTGCAGCCATACTGTCTGTATAAGTTTGCAGTTTCTTTTCCATGTAACATTAAAATACATGCCTTGTTCCACAGTCTTAGAAATTCTTTGTAAACCTTACTTTCAGTGGCTGCTAATAATCCCTCAGCTGGGTATACTATCACTTACTTAAACAATCATCTATTGTTAGGCCATTCGGTGCTTTCCAGTTCCTAGCTGTCAGCAACATTGCTGCAAAGAGCATCTTTTTATTCAGAAAGCTTTTTCTGTTTGTCCTATTTCCTTAAGATGGTTTCTCAGAAGTGGAAATACTGGTTCAATTACCAGTTCGCGTTTTATGTCTCTTCGTACATATTGCCAAGTTGTTTCCCAAAGGGTGGCCCCAGCAGAGTGGGAGAGCGTTCTGTGGGTAGTTTTCTATTCTTAACTGGCTTTGCATTCCTTCCCCAAAGTCTCATAAGGAGAATGGCCCAGAGCGTGGTGGAAGTGATGGAAGACGCCAAGGGGAAGGTCCAGGAGAACCTTCTGGCCAACGGAGGTAGGTCTCTGAAGCGTGCTTATGGCGTTCCTTCCCCAGCTCATTCTAGCCCATTCGTGGTCCCAGCTGTGGCCACACAGGAGGGCTGAAATGACACGGCGCCACGGAGGCGCCAAACTGCCAGGCCAGGCAGAGGCTTGCACACCACTTAGAGCACAGTGGCAGCGCTGTTTGGAAGACTCCAATCTCCCTTATAATCCTTCTGTCTCATTTCTAAAGCACCTGGCGTTTCTTACCTGTAGCTGAACTCTTCAGTGAAATTTGAGATGAAAATGGATTCAGTGGGGTTTAGGGGTTAGTTGGCTCACCCACCTTCTCTGTCAGCCTCCCTTCTATCCCCACACCCTAACCGATTTAATCCTATCCCCAGAGGAGGCTGGAATGCCTCAAACTGAATTCTTCAGCTATGCCCAGTAATTAGATGAAGGTTAGACCAAAAACACTTTGTGTAGCGGGTTTGCATTTGGAATTTCTGTCTCGTACACTGATAGGATAAGCCTGTAGATTCCAAGGATGTTTTGGTCCATGTATTAGGGTACAGACAATTTGAGTGCCCTTAAAATGTGCAAGACAAAAACTCTGAGTCTTTGGGAACCTTAGAATTAGGTGTTTCGATATCTGTAGAGATAATTAAACCCATGGCTCTATGCATCAGTATACTGAAAATGAAAGCATATATTCTATATTAATATGTCATTTAGTACATATCATTAATATTATACATTATTATACATATATAATGTTATGCAATATTACAATATTATACATTATTACACATATATAATATTTAAAAGATATAGATATTATGAATTTATTACATATATATTCATGTTTTTTCCCCTTGGAATTTTTTTTTTGGGTGCCACATGGTGTGCAGGGTCTTAGTTCCCCAACCAGGAATTGAACCTGTGCCCCCTGCAGTGGAAGGGCAGAGTCCTATCCACTGGACCATTAGGGAGCTCCCATCGGGGAACCTTGGAAACTGTTACATTCACTTGATTAAATTGATAAAGGGAAATGCTCGTATTCCCAAATCAGAACTTAGTTTTGTATGTTACTGCAGTCTAATGACTCCACCCTCTTACGTTGCAGGTTTGAAAGAAAAAATGAAGTGTTTAAAGAGTAGGTTTTGTGTCGTTTGCTGTGTGTGTGACGCCTGCATGCCCCTGGGAAGGGGGAATCTCAGTCTGGTTGTAGGGATACAGTGACCAGGTGACGACGGATTTCTCGAGTGACAGCCTCGTGGCTTGGTCACAGTGTCCATATAACACAGACAGCAACTGCTTCTTCCCTTCCCCCTCTTCCTTGCGTCTCCCCTGCCTCCCCCAGCAGCACCGCATGCCTCCTGGAGTTCAGTATCGACTTTGGCATCTTTTTGATTGTGGTTTGCTTCTTGCCTTGATGGCCATCCCCAGCGTCGTCCTGCCTGTGGGGGCTGGCTGTGGGGTGGACCCTGACATCCTTAAATGCCAGGCTTAGCTTTGTGTGGCCTCGATGGGGGTCTCTCATACACTCTTCAAGCCTCTCCTAGGAGAGCCTCTGTGCTCAAACAGGCCATTTCTGGTTTCCCCATTAGGAGGTGTCATTTGCATTGGTTTTTCTCCAACCTGCTTAGACTGGTGGAATTAAAGCCAGCAAATCCCATTATGTAGGACAAATACAAATCTTGGCAGACCAGAAGTCACCAAAATGCCTTCCCAAATGCAATCTGTTAATTTCACTGAGATCCCTCGCCTGTGTTTTGTTGAGTTGATGAATTGCTCTTATTTCCCAGCAGGTAACTCAGAGGGCCTTAGACGGAAATGCTGACTTAGGACTACTTTTCTATCTAAAAAACTTGGTCTTGAGAATTCGAGAACTGACTCATTTGAAAAGACCCTGATGCTGGGAAAGATCGAAAGCAGGAGAAGGGGATGGCAGAGGATGAGATGGTTGGATGGCATCACTGACTCAATGGACATGAGTTTGAGTAAACTCTGGGAGTTGGTGATGAACAGGGAGGCCTGGGGTGCTGCAGTCCATGGGGTCGCAAAGAGTAGGACACGACTAAGTGACTGAACTGAACTGAGGATTCGAGAATTTGAGCTCACTTGACAATAATGCTCAAAATGCTTACATTCTATTCAAAATTCATGTCAGTTAAAATTAGGTGTCATTATTACATCGTATCCATCCCCAGTTTCCTCTCAGGAGGAGAGAATTCAGTGATATTTGTTTCCATCTTTTTCATTATCTCTAGGCCTCCTGGGAGTCAGGTCCCCATGACTTTCCAAACCTAGACCTTCCAAAGCTGGTCCAGTACATGTGCACACAAAAGTCAAGGACCCTAGGGCAGCCTTCATGGCCTGCTGTTGAACATTCATCATGCACAGCAGCGCAGTAAAGTCTCTGAAAAGTACTGCAGTCAAGAAACCTTTGAGACAGTTTGGCTCAGGCTTTCCTGATAGTCTGTCTGCAATGCAGGAGACCCAGGGTGGAGCCCTGGGTCAGAAAGATCGCCTGGAAAAGGGAATGGCAACCCACTCCAGTATTCTTGCCTGGAGAATCCCATGGACAGAGGAGCCTGGTGGGCTACAGTCCATGGAGTGGCAAAGAATCAGACACAACTGAGCGACTGACTAACACTTTCAACTTTCTTGATATTATTCGGATGGACGAGGAGCTATTTTTCTTCTAGAGAGCACCCAGGGAGCTAGTGATAGAATTAACTGCAGGAACTCAGGGTTTCACCAGCAGGTGGGATTTTAATCTGATCTCTGAGGTTACCCCCCAGGTCTTCTGGGCTATGTTTCCTGGAGGACCAGGGGCCCCGGCCTTGTAACAGTCAGGCTTGGCTCTTTGCGACCTTGGTAGGTCACCTCCCTGGGTCTTAGTTTTCTTGCCTCTATGGACTTAATCCCTTTACGGTTCTCTGCTTTGCCTGGGCACCTTTTGTTTCCGTCTGTTCTTTGCTTCTTGCTGCGTCTGAAGCAGGAAGGACACAGACGTGTGTGATTGCAGCAGAGCTGAGCAAACATGCCCTGGTCTGGCCGGGGCCCTGGAAGGTTCAGGGTCGGAACCACCTGATGGTCTGTCTGGCTGTCTGGCCTCCATTGGTGTGGTCACTGGTCCTTTGTTCCGCTGCTGCCAGGAAGTCTTTGTTTGGGTTCTTGAATGACACCACTGTTGCTTGAGGGCAGCCGTCTGTGTGTTTTGAGTGTTTTGATTCGAAGTGAGCCTGCCTGGGTCATGGTCTGACCTCACAGGCCTTCGATCCAAGCACACACTGCTTCCTGGAGACTAGGCTTCCGGGATTTCAGCCCGGGGACAGGAGGGGAGGGGAACCTGTCTTTACAAGGAAGCAGAAAGGAGGCTGTGGCTTGGGAGCACCCAGAGGGTCCTGGGGCTGCCGCTTCCTAAGACTGAGGACCGTTCTCAGACCACATTCTCACCAAAGGCGATGTGCAAGGGGCAAGGTCCTCGTCTACGTGATCCGGGCGAGGCACAGTGTCTGGAACTGGTGGTACTGACTGGGGAGAGGGGACGTCAGAGGAGGAAGTCACAGTCACAACTTGGAGGTCTCTGGAGCCTTCTGCAGGGAGCTCGTCACAGTCTCCTTATCTCACCTCCTCCTTCATCAGACACTCACGCTCGGCCATTGAGCGCCAGACACTGTGCTGTTCTGGGCATCCGGAGATGATCACCCTCCAGGAGCTCGCAGTCTGGGGATCAGACCTGCAGCACCTCATGTACTGTCATGGAAACCAAGGGCTTGGGAGCCTTCACGAGGAAAGAGGCTGAGTCGTAGAGGAATTATAGGCGTTCTAGTGGAAAGGAGGATGCATTCACTCTCTTTGGTCTGAATGCTGGAAAGCCTGGAGTTAGTAAAAAATGCATGGAGACAAAAGCTTGTCTGAAAGGTTCCTCTCCTAAGCAACCTGGCTGGTGTTAGGACAGTAATCAGGGTTATTAGGAAGATTCTCGTATGAAGCGCTTGCCCCTGGCTGTACACTGTCATGGAGCTCTGGGGACACAGAGATAATCAACTGCCCTCAAGGAGCCTGAAAGAGCAGGGGAGTCAACCATGGTTGTGTAGCGTCGTTAGTGTGAAGGAGTTGGCCAGCGTCCACAGGCTCTGGCCGGCAAGGGGAGGGAGGGTTGGGCAGGTTTTCAGGAGTTGGTCTCCATCCTGATGTTCAGGACAAGGGCAGCTGTGAGAGGGAGAGTGAACAGCTGGGGGTGGCTTGGCTTGGGTGGTGTGGTGTGCCCACAGAGTCTGGAAGGGGCAGTGGTGGGGATCGCTAGAGCACACATCTTCCTGGCATCGGCCTGGGTGGGGATGTTCCCTGGTCTGTTGCGGGGTGAGGTGTTGGCGGCGCCTACCAGGCAGTGAGCAACCAGCATGGGAGCTGTGTGACCGTCATGCCTGTCCAGTGCCTGGCCCACAGTAGGGTTCAGTAGCAGCATCAGGGGTGACCACTGACACAGAACAAGTCCTTTGTGACCTAAGGTTCTGCCACTGACCATGCCCCTGCCATCATCCAGACCTTAATTCAGCTCCTCACAGGCTTGGATCCTCCCTGCAAAGTCACCTCCCTGCCCTAGTGTGGCAGTCCCCCAATCCATATTAATACCAAATTAGTACCAAAATCCCATATGAGTCAGCTCAGGCTACCATATCAAAACACCCAGACTGGAGCTTAAACCATGGACATTTATCTCTGGAGGCTGGAAGTTCAGGGTCAGGTTGATGGCAGGTTTGGTTCCTGGTGAGAACCTCCTCCTTCGCTGTGTGTTCACACGTCCCTTCCTTGGTGGGAGGACACACAGGATGGGGCAGGGGTGGGGGTGGCCCTCTGGTGTCTCCTCCTAAGGGCGCTTAGTTCACTGGGTCGGGACTTCGCCTTTGGTGCCTCCGGGGTAGTCTCGTCAATCTCAACGCCTTTGGAATCTGAAAGAAGTGAAAGTCTGTCAGTCGCGTCTGACTCTTTGTGACCCCATGGACTATAGAGTCCCTGGAATTCTCCAGGCCAGTATTCTCCAGTATTGTACTGGAGTGGGTAGCCTTTCCCTTCTCCAGAGGATCTTCCCAACCCAGGGATCGAACCAAGGTCTCCTGCATTGCAGGTGGATTCTTTACCAGCTGAGCCACAAGGGAAGCCCTTGGAATCTGAAGAACCTCTCTTAAGTCGTGAGACCAGATGTACTGGCATGTGGTTCTCAGGAAGGGACCAACCCATGACAGCTTCTCTGTGTCCCCCTGACCCCCCGCCACCTCCACGACTGCCTCACCTGCCCAAGGGCGGGGCAGAGAAGGATCTCCCCCCACTCCCAGCTCCACGTTCCTTGTCTCCTTTTCTGGTGGAGGTTACATGACTTACTCTGTGCCAGAGTTTCCTTATCTCTAAGCTGGAGATAATGATAAGACCCAATAGGGTTGAAAAGTAAATTAACTGAAATACCGGGTTGGCCAAAAAGTTCGTTCAAGCTTTTCAGTATCCTCTTATGGAAAAACTCAAATGAGCTTTCTGACCAATCCAGTATTTCATGCATCCAGGCCAAGGTGAAGCACCAACCAAGGTCAGCTGGCTGTGAAGGTCGTCACCAGCATCGTCATCCTCATGTTGAGTGAGTGAGTGAAGTCGCTCAGTCGTGTCCGACTCTTTGCGACCCCAAGGACTGTGGGCAAACAGGCTCCTCCATCCAAGGGATTTTTCAGGCAAGAGTACTGGAGTGGGTTGCCATTTCCTTCTCCAGGGGATCTTTGCGACCCGGGGATCGAATCCGGGTCTCCCGCATTGTAGGCAGATATTTTTACCATCTGAGCCACCAGGGAAGCCATCCTTATGTTAAGACCCGTCTAACAGCTCTGCCTGCAGACCTCTTCCCTCCCCAGAGCCCCACTTCATTTCCATCTGCTCTGTGGGGACTTGTAGACCCCAAGTGTCCGACTCAAGCTCATCTCGAGCTGAGCCCAGCTCCTCTCGCTTCTGCTCTGGCCCAGACTGCCACCTCCTGGCTTCCTGGCTGAGTGCATGTCCCCTTCTTCCATGCAACCACCCAACCTGTAAACCCAAGTGACCCCCCAGGCCCCGTTTTGCCCTGGGGTCACTGTCCCTGCGTCCTGTTAAGCTGACCTCCTGCCTCCACTCGCAGGACTTGGGTCCCCAAGCTTTACCTTCTCTCCTGCAAACCCTGAGACGACTTCTCAGGACACAGGTGTGCTCACCGGGCTACGTGGCCCCTGGAGGCTTGTGTCCGGACCTGCTTTGCTGAGTTTTCAGCTCTGCTGTTGGGGTCGGAGGGACGCGTGTCCAACTCCCGGCATGCACGAGGAGCTCAGTAAACGGGCTCGGAGTCTTGATCGCCGCAGGAGAAGGTGCAGACGTGACCTGACCCCTCTCCGTCCACACCCCCGGCACATCAGCTTGACCCAGGGATTCCCCGTGCCCAGAAAGTGATGTTGGCCAGTCCACCTGGTCGACACCCAGCTCCCTCCTTCACTGGCCATGTGGCAAACTCTCTGGCCCCCTTAGGACCTGCATGAATACAGGGTCTCCTCAAAGCCCTCCGGGGCCCCCACCCCCCCAGAGCAGGAGGCAGGTGCTGGCTCTCCCCTCCTCCCACAGTCCTGCCCTCCTCACGTCACACATCTCACTGGGGTATCAGGTTAGACCAGCGTCCCCAGGAGACCGAGGGTGAGCGGGCTGTGGCCTGCTGACCCCAGCATGGTAGCGAGCTGGCCTTTGGGCATGGTGACTGAATGTCAAGGGACGGTGACCAGTCCCTCTGCATCTGCGTGAGGGTAGACTGGGAAAGGCTTGCATCCACATGATCTGGGTTGAGAATCCAGGTCCTTCTTGCTGGCTTTGAGGAATTCAGGGGCCCCCTTAGCATGTCATACACTGAAAGGGTGACCGACGGGTGTAACCTGCAGCTGGCCCCCAGGTAGCACCTTAGAGGAGTGCGGGCCCTCACCTGAGCAGAGTGGGCCCTCGAGAGACTGCCCCCTCTGTGCCCCCACTTCTCAGGTAAGGAGACTGAGGTGCAAACAGGTTGGTTACTAACATGTTTCGGTGCCCCACCGCCCCCAGCACTGACCTCCAAACCCCTTCCTCTGCCCTCAGCTCGTTAGAGACAATCGCAAACACCCTGGGCATGCAAGGTTTAGTTTGCTTTTGAAGAAAGTTAGGGAAAGCAGGAAATTTGTTGAAAAGATACTGATTGGTTCTTCTGACTGTAGACTTTATACAGAGATACCCTGATAAAAGCACGTCTGTGCCAAGTGGTGAAAACCACATATGCGAACACTAGTATTTTGCTAACATTGAAAATGCCTTTGTTAAAGCAGACGTATGTGGCGCTGGCCTGTCTAGTGCTGGGCATGGGAGGCAGAAAGATTGCTCATCTGCTGGGCAGCTGGCACCCATGACAGGCTGTGTGGTTTGTGGGGGGTGGCTTGAGGCTCTCTGGCATGCCTTTGGGGTACTTCAAGCCAATAACTCAGCAGCGGGCATGGCTGAACCTACTGGAAAGGGCGAGGAATTCTCCCAGTGTCTGAGTTTCTACTGACTTGGGGTCCATCTCCTGGGAAGGCAGGGCCTCTCACGCAGGGCTCTGGGGTAGCTGTCTGGGTTTGAGTTTGGGCCCAGGAGCCCACCCTTACAGCATCCTGGGGACTGTGGTGGGCTTTTCTGAGGGGTTTAGGAGCTGCCTGCAGGCCTGGCTGGTGGCTGGCCCAGCCTCTGCTCTCCCAGAGAGGAGGGAGCCCCGAGTCTGTCCTTCAGTTTCTCTAATTCCTTGGTTTAAGTGGGGACATTGGCCTGGGCATGGTGCCTGGGTCTCAGGAGAGATGGGAAGCCCACTGTCTGCTGAGATGTGTCTGTCTCTTGCAGTTGACCTAACGTCCTTTGTGACCCACTTTGAATGGGACATGGCCAAGTATCCTGCAAAGCAGCCGCTGGTGAGCGTGGTGGACACTCTGGCAAAGGTACGAGGAGGGTCTTCTCTCCAGCCGGGTTACCCTCCTGTGACCCTGACCATCTGGGGACATTGGGGTGAATCTACATGGCCTTTGGACCCCGGCAAAGCAGGGAGGCACTTCCCAGGATGCCAGAGGCGGGGGGCGGGGTGGGGTTCAGGGTACCCTGGAAACAGGTTGATGACCACCTGCCCCCCTATACCTCTTCCAGAGTTACTTGCTCAGTCACGTCTGACTCTTTGTGACCCCATGGACTGTTGCCCGCCAGGCTCCTCTGTCCATGGGATTCTCCAGGCAAGAATACTGGAGTGGGTTGCCATTCCCTTCTCCAGGGGATCTTCCCAACCCAGGGATTGAACCTGGGTCTCTTGCATTGCAGACACATTCTTTACCATCTCAACCACCAGGGAAGCCATATATACCTCTTCCAAAGCGAAAGTCGCTCAGTCGTGTCTGACTCTTTGCGACGCCATGGACTATACAGTCCATGGAATTCTCCAGGCCAGAATACTTCTTCCAAACCTACCACTCAACAGGGTGGCTTCATCTTACAGGACACTCCCCTCCAGGGGCACTCTGAGCCCCCAGTGTTCTGACCCCAGACCCTGGAGTCTGTTCACTGCACCCCCCTTTGAAAGCTGCTGATGGAGAAGTCAGCCCCTTCCTGACACCCCTACCGCCAGGGTGATTGTTGACTTAACAAAAATTATCAGCTTCAGTGGATAATTGGGCTTAGGAGCCCTAACTCCTGCAAGGCATCGCCCAGCGTGCCACCCCTGATGACACTGGGAAGCCAGTAAGCCCTGGCCTCATGATTCAGCCCTCTCGGTGAGCCATTGTCTCCAACTTCTGCTCCATGAATGAAAGTATCAAGGTGGAACCCTCTAGGGACATCAAGGGTGTCTCCCGGCGTGTTGACTCCTGTCGCCTCCCTGAGGGGGGGCACTGATGAACATTCTGAGATTTAACCCGATGGTTTATGACCACTGTCCCACCTCCCTCCACGACACACAGAGCCCCTCATATGTCTCCTGAGGCCCACCAGGTGTGGCTGGGCGGGTCGGGTGTAGGAGATGAGTCTCAGGATCCACCCCTCTGTGGGTCTGCTGCTGGCAGGGTGGTGCTCCAGCCGGTGTCTCTGGGAACGAGGGCAGGGCCCGAAGTCTCTGGAATCTGGGTGCGGCTCATTGGGCACCCCTTACATCACAGAGGCCCCAGCCCGTCCTGGGACAGTTGGGCAGTGATTCTAAAAGGCCCTTCAAGGAGGAGCTCTGAGAGCACCTGTGCCAGGTATGGCATCCTGGGGGACATTGTGCACCTCCACCCCCAAGCTGGAAGCACGTGCTGGTGTTCAGGGCTGGTCGCTCCCTGCCCTGCCGCTGCTGAGGCCAGGCCGAGCCAGGCAGCATGGCCAGAGCTGTGCTCGTCGTCAACTGGGGATGACGCTCGCTGGCATGGCTGTCCCGGGGACACAGGCAGTGATGAGGGCTCCCGGAGCACATCGGGGCATCAGCTGATTGGGGAGCTGTTGTAGAGGACAGAACCTAGCCTCTCTCTCTCTCCCCTGGGGGGCCCAGAGAGTGACCATGGCAGAAAAGCAGGGTGGGGAGGCAAGCCCTGGTTTGAAAGCACTTGCTATATGTGTAGAACTTTTACTTCCCACACACCCTCATGGGCAGGTATCACCTTCCCTGATTTCAGGTGGGGAGGTTGGCTTAGAGGTGGCATGGCATCCCCTGGGCCCTGCAGGGGCTGAAGTAGTGCCCTAGGAGAGGGATGAAGGTCTCAGGTGTGCACCTGGCACTGCTTCCCGAGGCAGCCCTGAGATAGCTCCACTGATGGGCAGAGGGTCTGGGTATCAGCTTCCTCACCCTGTGTCTGCCCCAGGAGTACTGGAGTGATGCCCTCGGCACTGGCTCAGGCCTGTTCCCCCAGTGGGAAATGCAAATCAGTTAACTAGAGATATCCTGGTCAGAGAAACTCCCTTCTAAAATGACCAGTGTCTTCTGGGTGTCCAAGCAGGTCTCCCCACCCGGGAGGTGCCCCATGCTGACACGGGCAGGGCTGGGCCCCCAACCCTCCCGACAGCTGGAAACTGAGCGCACCTGTCTGCATTAATGAAAAGGAGCAAGGATGGGGGCCCAGCCCATGCCTGCGTCCATCTCTGTGGGCTGGGTCACACTGAAGTTCTTAAAAGGCCTCTGGATCTTTACCGGCCTACAGTAAATAGCGAAGTTTCTTTCTTTGCTGTATGCGTGTCCACAGTGGTTAGTGGGGGCCTGCTCCTTGTCCACTCACTCAGAGCGCTGGCCCCCGGTACCTCCACCACCTGAAGCATCTCTATGCAGGGAGGTACATGGGGTCTCAAGGCTCTGCCTGGCACACATGCTTCGGTGGTGGGGAGTGCACGCCAGCCAGAGGCCAGAAGGAGCAAAGCTGGGAGTGTTTGGTCCTGGACACATTCTCGAAGCACCGCCAAGTGCCGGCCACTCTGTCCAGAACTGCAGAGTTGACCCAGATGCAGGCCCACCCTCGAGGGACTCAGTCTGCTGGAGAAAGGACTCGCCTTCCTGGGTAACCTGCTCCATGGCACTGAGCTCAGAGAGGTTCAGCTGATACCAGGTCATACAGCCAGAGCAGGTGGGCACCTGAGGCCAGGCACCCAGGGAACTGGGTCTTGGCCTCGGTGATCTCATTTCCCTGCCCATCGAAGAGGGGAACTCGGATGCGCTCCTGAAACTTCCAGAACAAGGGACATCTCCCTATGGTCAGGCTGGTGACCTCTCTCCAAACTGAGAAGAGCCTTCTTCCCTGTGCAGAGCATGAAGGGGCTACCTGGGGCACAGCTGAGCCTGGAAACCTGGGCGCTGGTCAGGGCTCGGCCACAGTGGGTGCTTAGAGGGGCCAAGATGAGGGTCAGACAGAATTGACCTCCAATAGAGCCTGAGGAACACAAGCCTCTTATCCTTCTCCATCAGAGGGCAGAAAGAATGACTACCACAATCACAGAAAACTAACCAAACTGATCACGTAGATCACACCCGTGTCTAACTCAATGAAACACTAGGAGCCATGCCGTGTAGGGCCGCCCAAGACGGACAAGTCATGGTGGAGAATTCTGACAAAACATGGTCCACTGGAGAAGGGAATGGCAAACCACTTCAGTATTCTTGCCTGGAGAACCCCATCAATAGTATGAAAAGGCAAAAAGATAGGACACTGAAAGATGAACTCCCCAGGTCGATAGGTGCCCAATATGCTACTGGAGATCAGTGGAGAAATAACTCCAGAAAGAATGAAGAAACGGACCCAAAGCAAAAACAACACCCCGTTGTGGATGTGACTGGTGATATAGGTAAGGTCCAATCCTATAAAGAACAATATTGCATAGGAACCTGGAATGTTAGGTCCATGAATCAAGGTATTTGGAAGTGGTCAAACAGGAGATGGCAAGCGTGAGCACTGACATTTTAGGAATCAGTGAACTAAAATGGACTGGAATGGGTGAATTTAACTCAGATAACCATTATATCTACTACTGTGGACAGGAATCCCTTAGAAGAAATGGAGTAGCCCTCATAGTCAACAAAAGAGTCCAAAATGCAGTACTTGGGTGCAATCTAAAAAATGACAGAATGATCTCTGTTCATTTCCAAGGCAAACCATTCAATATCACAGTAATCCAAGTTTATGCCCCAACCACCAATGCCGAAGAAGCTGAAGTTGAATGGTTCTATGAAGGCATACAAGACCTTCTAGAACTAACACAGAAAAAAAGATATCCTTTTCATCATAGGGGACTGGAATGCAAAAGTAGTAAGTCAAGAGATACCTGGAGTAACAGGCAAATTTGGCCTTGGAGTACAGAATGAAGCAGGGCAAATGCTAATAGAGTTTTGCCAAGAGAACTCACTGGTCATAACAAACACCCTCTTCCAACAACACAAGAGATGACTCTACACATGGACATCACCAGATGGTTGACACCGAAATCAGATTGATTATATTTTTTGCAGCCGAAGATGGAGAGGTGCTATACAGTCAGCAAAAACAAGACCGGGAGCTGACTGTGGTTCAGATCATGAACTCCTTATTGAAATTCAGACTGAAATTGAAGAAAGTAGGGAAAACCACTAGACCATTCAGATATGACCTAAATCAAATCCCTTACGATTATACAGTGGAAGTGACAAATAGATTCAAGGGATTAGATCTGATAGAGTGGCTGAAGAACTATGGATGGAGGTTCATGACATTGTACAGGAGGTGGTGATTAAAATCATCTCTGAGAAAAAGAAATGCAAAAAGGCAAAATGGTTGTCTGAGGAGGCCTTACAAATAGCTGAGAAAAGAAGAGAAGCTAAAGGCAAAGGAGAAAAGGAAAGATATATCCATCTGAATTCAGAGGTCCAAAGAATAGCAAGGAGAGATAAGAAAGCCTTCCTGAGTGATCAATGCAAAGAAATAGAGGAAAACAATAGGATGGAAAAGACTAGAGATCTCTTCAAGAAAATTAGAGATTCCAAGGGAACATTTCATACAAAGATGGGCTCGATAAAAGACAGAAATGGTATAGACCTAACAGAAGCAGAAGATACTAAGAAGAGGTGGCAAGAATACTCAGAAGAACTATACAAAAAAGATCTTCATGACCCAGATAACCACAAAGCTGTGATCACTCACCCAGAGCCAGATATCCTGGAATGTGAAGTCAAGTGGGCCTTAAGAAGCATCACTATGAACAAAGCTAGTGGAGGTGTTAGGATTCCAGTTGAGCTGTTTCAAATCCTAAAAGATGATGCTGTGAAAGTGCTATACTCAGTATGCCAGCAAATTTGGAAAACTCAGCAGTGGCCACAGGACTAGAAAAGGTCAGTTTTCATTCCAATCCCTAAGAAAGGCAATGCCAAAGAATGTTCAAACTACCGCACAACTGCACTCATCTCACATGCTAGCAAAGTAATGCTCAAAATTTTCCAAGCCAGGCTTCAACAGTACGTGAACCGAGAACTTCCAGATGTTCAAGATGGATTTAGAAAAGGCAGAGGAACCAGAGGTCAAATTGCCAACATCCATTGCATCATCAAAAAAACAAGAGAGTTCCAGAAAAACATATACCTCTGCTTCATTGACTACATCAAAGCCTTTGACTGTGTGGATCACAAGAAACTGGAAACTTCTGAAAGAGACTGGAATACCAGACCACCTTACCTGCCTCCTGAGAAACCTGTCAAGAAGCAATGGTTGGAACTGGACATGGAACAACAGACTGGTTCCACATTGGGAAAGGAGTTCATCAAGGCTGTATGTTGTCACCCTACTTATTTAACTTATATGCAGAGTATAGCATGCAAATGCCAGGTTGGATGAAGCACAAGCTGGAATCAAGATTGCCGGGAGAAATATCAAATCACCTCAGATGTGCAGATGACACCATCCTTATGGCAGAAAGCAAACAAGAACTAAAGAGTCTCTTGATGAAAGTGAAAGAGGAAAGTGAAAAAGCTGGCTTAAAACTCAACATTCAGAAAACTAAGATCATGGCATCCAGTCCCATCACTTCATGGCAAATAGATTGGGAAGTAATGGAAATGGTGACAGACTTTATCTTCTTGGGCTCCAAAATCACTGCAGATATTGACTCCAGCTATGAAATCAAAAGATGCTTGCTCCTTGGAAGAAAAGCTATGACCAACCTAGACAGCATAATAAAAAGCAGAGACATTACTTTGCTGACAAAGGTCCATCTCATCAAGGCTGTGGTTTTTCTAGTAGTCATGTATGAATGTGAGAGTTGGACCCTAAAGAAAGCTGAGTGCTGAAGAATTGATGCTTTTGAACTATGGTGTTGGAGAAGACTCTTGAGAGTCCCTTGGACTGCAAGGAGATCCAACCAGTCCATCCTAAAGGAAATCGGTCCTGAATATTCATTGGAAGCACTGATGCTGAAGCTGAAACTCCAATACTTTGGCCACCTGATGCAAAGAACTGACTCATTTGAAAAGACCCTGCTGCTGGGAAAGATTGAAGGCAGGAGGAGAAGGGGATGACAGAGGATGAGATGGTTAGATAGCATCACCAACTTGATCTACATGAGTTTGAGTAAGGTCCATGAGTTGTTGATGGACAGGGAAGCCTGGCTTGCTGCAGTCCATGGGATGGCAGAGAGTCAGACACAACTGAGCAACTGAACTGACAGCCTGAGGGCATGTGGAGTGGGGACCGGGGGGTTGTGAGAGTACAAGATGGGCTCGAGATAAGAACAAGACTCCACTCACTGAGTAATCCCAGAAAAGCCATTTATATCTCAAGCCTCCTGTCTGCAACGTGGGGCTCTCTGTAGGGCCGGGATGCTGGCAGTCTGTGAAAGCAGAAGGGAGAAAAGTGTAAGCTTTTCCAGCAAATGGGCAGGGTGCAGTGTTTTTCCTTAACTGCCCCAGGAGCAATTTGCGGTGATTTTGAAAAGTTCGACCAACTTTTTAAATTCTCTTTTGCTTTTCCAACTAGCAACTGGCACAGATCGAGACAGACCTGAAGTCCCGAACGGCTGCCTACAACACTCTGAAGACAAACCTAGAGAACCTGGAGAAGAAATCCATGTGAGTATTCGGGCTCCGAGATCCTGGTGGCCTCAGGGCCTGGCTGAGTTGGGGTCCAAGCTGGGCTTATACATGCACGTTTGAGATCACTGGTCGAACCAAGGTCTGTGTCTGTTTGTGTCTGAGCGGTCAGGCCAGAGGCACTGCTGCATGTTCACGGGCTATGTGCTGGGTGGGGAGGTCAGCAGTGGCAGTGCTTGATCCTTTGAGCACATACACTGAGTGAAGGAGATGAGGGTGAAGCGGGTCACTGTCTGCCTCCCTCTTCTGTTCATTCTTTCGAGCAATGGGGTGTTTTTTTGGCCACACCTTGCATCTTGTGGGATCTTAGTTCCCTGGCCAGGGACTGAACCCAGGCCACTCCAGTGAAAGTGCAGAGTCCTAACCACTGGAACCACCAGTTTGAGCAAACTCCAAGAGACAGTGAAGGACCGGGAAGCTTGGAGTGCTTCAGTTCACGGGGTCACAAACAGTCGGACACAACTGAGCAACTGAACAACTATGCACTGATACTACAGACAATCTCAAGAACTATAATTTTGGCCCAATTGCTGGTACAACACCCTTGGTCCCTGTTCTAAAAAATACCATGACCTCAATAAGACTAGGCTCCACTGGACACACACGCAAAGCTGTTTCAGGTGAATGTCTCCTGGCTGCTGGACCGACAAGGGTTGTAATGTGAAACAGAGCCCTCACCGGGGCTGTGTTTGCCCAGCACAGCCCAGGTGGCATCTTGAGCCAGCCACTGTGTGGCCACTTGTGTAACTTAAGCCGCCTGCCACCAGCGGTCCCCTCCCAACAGCCGGTGGCCTGTGCCAGGGCAGCACAGGCAGCCAAAGTGTTGAATTCAGCTCTGGCAACTGGTGATAGCATCTGGGGTCCTGCCAGTTACTGCAGTTCTGGCCGCCCAGACACAGCCGAGGGACACTTGGCCCAGGGTCCCCGCCCCTCCCTGGGGAGTGTCCCAGGCCTTCCTGTCCCCCGCTGCCCTGGGTGTTATGGGTGTGCCCAGGGGTGCCTCCATGTGCCTTTCTGCTGACCCCACCTCTTTGTCACCCGTGAATCCAGGGGAAACCTCTTCACTCGGACCCTGAGCGACATTGTGAGCAAAGAAGACTTCGTGCTGGATTCCGAGTACCTGATCACGCTGTTGGTCATTGTCCCCAAGTAAGCAGGCCAGGGGGAGAGGGGAGTTGGGGGTTTCTGGCTGGGTTGGCGATCACAGAGGAAATCGTCCTGCTCAGTGGAGAGGAAGGGAGAGCCCACCACGGCCAGATCCCGGGGCCCTAAATGGCAGCTGTGGAGTTGGTTTCAGGAGCAGGTGATAGAGCTTGTGGCAGTCACAGTGACAGGAGCGGCCATTTCCCAGACATCCATCCACTGTTGTCAGATGCCATACACAGGAGGCATTTCACACACACCTGGGGGCTGTTACTGTTCCCTTGTCCCAGGACCAGAGAGCTCAGCTGGCCTGCCCAAGGTCACACAGGCCTGGGATTAGAGCTCCCAGTCTCCACTGAGTCCATGGGCCCCTCCCTGCTGCCTGGGGCCTCCTGGGGAGGTGAGCATTCCAATGCCCATGGCAGGGCCTCGGGGGATGATTGGGGCGCTGTCTGGCCCTCAGCCCTGCTCCCCCTTGTCCCTCAGGGAAAAGGGCACGCAGTTTCATAGACATTCAGGACACCTCACAACCTTTTCTGCAAAAATCATTGAACAATTCTGTACTCTTGCAGACCAAGTTACGTACAATGGCAAAAAACCTACGAATCCCTCTCAGACATGGTCGTCCCACGGTCAACCAAGTAAGTGAGGCCTCAGGTCCTGGGTTTGGGGGGCCATGTATGGGCACTCTGAGACACCCAGCCACCAAACATACCCCAGAAGTGCAAGGGCCCTCAGCCATCCACACACATGCGTTCACGGCCACACACTCAGCCACAGGCCAGACTCCCTCCATCTTTCAGAAGTCTGCTCCCTTGCTGTCTCCTCCAGGAAGCCCTCCCTGACTACCTTCTGGCCCTCAGCACTTGCAAGGCCTGTGCAGCACTCTATTCTGCATGCTCATCTTGGCCTGGATTCTTCCCCACCTGAGGGTCAAGCAAGGGCCTGGCTGTGATGGCCGCAGAGCACGAGCAGGGAAGGAAGAGTCTTAGCATGTGGCCTGCTGGGGTCAGAGCAGGAGCGGCCAGTGAGGGCTGGAAAAGTGACTTAGAAGGGATGGAGGAACATATTCAACCCATGAGTGCCACCCAGTGGGGAAAACCAACGATTTAGCGCTGCAGGCAGGAGCAGGCAGAAATCTCACTGCACGATGTGAAGTGGAGAGAAAGTTGTAGAAGGGGACACACAGCACGAAGACATTTATTATTTAAGATCTCCAAATGGACAGAACCAGATGGTATGTGCCTTGAGAGATGCCGGTGCACGGATCACGGGGTATTTGAGGATGAGAAATGCCGAACAGCACAGCAATGACCTGGGGTGGGCAGCAGGATGCGGTTGGGAGGGCACGTGAGTCTTCAATTGTATGAAAATTGTTCTATGTCTTAAGCTTGATGGGGGAGGATATCCATGGATATTTGTCATTGATATTGATATCCAAATATCCATGGATATTTGTCATTCTCTCTACCTTTCCCTGTGTCTGAAACAGCTTGTCATTTGAAATGATTTGACAGTGAGTCTTGTGGCTCAGACGGCAAAGAATCCAACTGTGGTACAGGAGACCCGGGTTCGATCCCTGCATTGGGAAGATCCCCTGGAGAAGGGAATGGCAACCCACTCTAGTACTGTTGCCTGGAGAATCCCAGGGCCAGAGAAGCCTGGCGGGCTGCAGTTCATGGGGTTGCAAAGAGTCAGATAAGACTGAGCGACTAACACACACACACACTTGGGCGCACACGGAGCTCAGCAGGGGGGCAGCCCTGCCCACCCCCATCCCAGCCCAGAGGCCTCTGGCCTGGCACCTACTGCAGGGCTGGCTCTCCCTGGGTCCCAGGCTCTCAAGCGATAGCAATCAAGAACTAAACTGAAGGGTGCAGGGAACAGGACAGTCACAGCCTGAGGTCACAAGGGGAGGCTGGAGGAGTGAGCCGGGGGCAGTGTACCCGCAGGAGGTGGAGGAGGGGGTGCAGGCTGGCAGAGGAACTGCCTGCAAAGCTGGCCTGCTGGGCCAGAATGTTCACTTTTCTCCAGGGCTGGCTGTCCGTGGCCACATGAAGGGAGAGGCTGCTACCGGAGGTGGCTTGGCTTCTCAGATTAGAACCCCCAGGCCCTTCATTGTCAGGGGGTACCTGTGAGCCTGCTGAGATGACTGTGGAAAGGTTCCTGGAACCTGGGTCAGCCCTGATGGGTGGCTTGGAGAAGCAGGAAAGGTGACCTGAAACCCTGCCCAGACCCATGGGCGCCCATGGTCAGGTCATGTGGTCAGCAGGATGCCAAGGCCCTTAGAGCAGGGGTCCCAGTGACCACAGCACTCCTACGTCAGGGTGTGCCAGAGAGGCCGTGTCTAATTAGAGCAGTGTGACACTGGACGTGAAATGCCCATTGCGGGATGGTTTTTACCAATGGGAACTCTGCCCTGCTTCATTGCACCGTGGCATTTGAGAGCTGGGCACTTGCTATACATGCCAGGTGAATGAGATCCATGGTCAGCTGGCTCTTGGCCGGTTCATGTCCGGACCAACAGCCCAGATTTGCGTAAGAATTCAGCGTTTTCCTCCAGGGCCTGTGTTCAGATCAGCCGCAGGCCCCTACAGCTCTAGCTTGGAGGGTGAGTGAAAGGAGCCAGAGTTAGGCTGCTGACAACATTCTGCCTGGAGTTAGGACAAAGGAAGGGTTGTCCTTCGTCTGGTGCCCTCGCTCCTTCCAGGGCCGCTGCTCCTGGACCACCGGGCTCCCCCTGGCAGCCACCTACCGCCCCCAGGGAGATGATGGACTCTTTCCGGGCCAGCTCAGGGGCCTGGTGGTGCATCCAGTGAACAAGACCTTCTCTCCAACAGGTTGATCGCTGAGGACAAGGAGGGCGGCCTCTTCACCGTGACTCTGTTTCGAAAAGTGATCGATGATTTCAAAACCAAAGCCAAAGAGAATAAGTAAGGGCCAGCCTTGGTGGGTTTTCCCCGAGTTTGGTTCGTCTGCCCTTGGAGGGGGTGATTTCTGGCCCGACTGGAAGCTTCTTAGCCACAGCCACTCTGCTTGTTTTAAGGTTCACTGTACGAGAATTTTACTATGATGAAAAAGAAATTAAAAGGGAAAGGGAAGAGATGACCCGATTGCTGTCGGATAAGAAGCAACAATATGTGAGTATATGATACTGGCCGGGAGGGTCCTCAGGAAGGTTCTGGGTGGTCCCCACCCCACCACAACCCCACCCTACCTCCCACCTCTGCAGCACAGGCATGGAGCAGAAGGGCCCCGCCCAGTTCCCCCGCCCCCCCAGTGCCCTTCATCCCCCTCCCCCTGGTGTACACCCCCAGGGATGTGTCCTGAGGGGCTGCTGGGGCAGGTCTGGGGGACAGTGACAAGCAGGGTAACCCGGAGGTGGCACGCGAGCCCTGCAGCAGGAGATCTCACCGAGCCAGGCCCTGCCCTCCGGGAAGGGACTCCAGGCTCCGACCTGGGGATGAGAAAGTGAGGCTCTGAGAGGCCCGCGAGCACCCTGGGAGAGGACCTCGCTAGCCCCTGGAGGGCGGGTGAGGCTCTTGGCACTTCAGGCAGCAGCACTTGTGCTAAGAGCGGCCACCACCTTGCAGAGCGCAGCCAGCAATCACCCGAAGCCCTGAACCGCGTGACCTCCAGGAGGGACGTGACCAGTCACCAGCACCTGTATTTACCTCCCCCAGGCTTTTAGCAAAGAGTGGGTGCTTCTCCTAGAAACTTCCTATCGCTGCCACTCAGAACCTTCTCCTGTGTGAGGGCAGCTGAGCTCAAGGGGGGAGAAAAATAAGTTGTTTTTTTTTTTTATTAGTTGGAGGCTAATTACCTTACAACATTGCAGTGGTTTTTGTCATACATTGAAATGAATTAGCCATGGATTTACATGTATTCCCCATCCCGGTCCCCCCTCCCACTTCCCTCTCCACCC